CAGTGGTGAGCCGCTGCGCTCGGGCCCGCGCCGGGGAGGGGAAAGAGGCCTGGGTGCCCCGCACGTCCCTCTTAGTTAAAGATCGCGGCTTCATGATTAACTTGGGCAGGTTCAAATATTTGCTGAGCTAGGGATTTCGGGTGGGGGAGGGGAGCCCAAGTCCAAGGCGAAGTTGTCATCGGCTAACAAGTGGCCAGTGCCAGCCCGGGGCCTCCTCCCCGCCGAGGAAGTGAGAAGGCCATTGTCGGGGGACCCAAAATAGTCTCTCTCGAGCTGGCTGTGGCGGCGCGCTCGCCGGCTCGCGGGGCTCAAGTGGCCACAGTGAAGCGAGGCACTATGCGCTGCCAAACACAGGAAGTGGCTGAGCTAGTTCAGCAAAAAATAGAATCAAAGCCTTGCTTGTAAAGGCCTGAGCCTCTCTCCGAACGGCCCAGAACACGGTGCCTCGTCCACCTCCTCCCACTCACCAGCAGACAGCCCCGCAGGTGTAACAGGAGAGCCACCCTGCCGGGAACAGGTTTACAAACATTGGGCAGGAGGAGGCTCCCAGGGAACAGGAGGGTATCTCCGCCTGCATACACCAGGCTCACTGCATAGAAAATACACTCCGAGATAAAAACTATATTCTGAGGCTATTTTTATGAAGTCAGTTTCCACTCACATAAAAATGGCCATAAAAGGTATGTCTGCAGTAGGTTCATGCAAAAGGTACATGGAGCCAAGGACAGGAGGGCAAGAATGGCACACCTTTCTAGAGGATTTTTCTCCCTTTATTTGAGAAAGTTGCAATAAGCCAGACTTAGTTCTTTCAATAGTAGCCAACAGTCCTAAAATGTGGCCTATGAAAATTTTCATTCACATCAGCATAGATAACTTTACTATTATCCCAAGAACCTTAGCCCAGCATAAAATCACAGAATCACTAGCTTTAAAATCAGAAGAAAAAAATTTATAGATCATGTCAAGCAATTCCCTCTTGCTTCACACACACACTTCTGACCCAGAGTGAAGTGGTTTGCACAAGATTACAGCAGGAGGACCTAAACGCAGCCTTCGGATGTTCGGTCCTAAACTCCTTTTTCTCCACCCACTGGCCCTGCTCTTTACTTCCCTCTGCCAGAGAAAGTAAAAATTAACAAGCGAAACTGAAGTTAATTTCTTTTAAGCCACATGCAAAAAAATTCACACCTACAACGAAACCTTTTTTTTTTCTCTTAATTAGAAAAAAAAAGCTACTTTCTAATTACTTTTGAAGAAACTTGGGTTCTGTCTAAATGCCCTCAGACTGTATGAAAAGGTGACCCAAAGGTCACATGCAGTGATAAAAGAAGATCTAGGTGTGGACACAGTCCACATAGGCAGGAACCAGCTTCAGGAGTACTTGGAACATCTGGGAAGTCCTGCTAATCCTAAACTCACAACGCACATGATTTTTACAAACTCTCCTTTGGTGTGATTGCTATAATACGAA